TTTCTTCCTAACTTGTCAGAAAGCTCAATACTCAAAATCTCGGCTCTACATTTGACAGGAATGATTTTAGATTCTATGTCAAGACAATGTTTTATGGCAATAAGGACACCACCCCCATTTACTCTGAATTTCCGACTATTCTGGGGGTCCGGGGGATGAGTAAAGCTAGAACGGTCAAGTCTAAATACTTTGTAATCAGCTGTCGAGATGATTTCACTATCATGGATATTGTCCTTTAACCATGTTTCATTATAAACTACAATATCTGGTTTATTGATATAAATAAAATGGTTTAGTTCGTGAATTTTTGTAGAGTGGAGAGTGGGATTTGCATCTCCAAGTTCACCAAAAGGGATCAAGCCCTGAACGTTACAATAAAAAACTGAGCAGTTTCCCGGGGGTCCTGGATTTTTCATGCTAGGGTTACAAATAAAGATAAGGAGAAAGTTTATGAGTAGTATCCAAAGGTAAAGTGATGCAGTTATATTTTGTAGATATGGGATTAAGCCTCGTTTGGGATTGTATTTAACAAACAACGTATGTAGTTTTTTACCTCTAATAATTAAGCTACTCATTGTACGTCTAATTGCAATACCAAAGATAACAAGGTAGAAATTGCAAAGTAAATTACCAAGACTGTTAATATTTAGTAGGAGTGGAGATTTAATAAGCTGTATCAATTTAGCAGGATTTGTAGGTGGGTTTTCCAAAATACAGGTGGTAAAACAGAGTAACATAACAAGAACGAAATAATAGTACATAAAAGGAAGACATATGTGATGTGGTTTGAATGAGTTTTGAACGGGTGTGGAGTGTATTACTGAATTCTTTGTTCTCTTCTTGTTTGAGTGGCTATTATTAAAGTAGCCAATACGTTTTCTATATGTTTCTAACTCAATCATGTGAAATCTAACAATAAAACGACCGACTGTGGAGCAATAATTCCCTTTACGGTGTGTAATTTGTACTTGTATTATTGTCCGTGTCCAGTTTGTATGCGTGATCAACGCCCGTCCGTGATTAGTTATACTATCATAATCAGTTATGTGATATAATCACGTAACTGTAGAATTCATTTTCATCTATTTAAATTGAGAAAATAAGCAATATTCTGAGAAACGGAGATAACTCGTCTTAGATTAGATAAGATGTGATCAGCCAATCAGCTCATTCGAAGAGTGATGGACATAGATGCTGGACTAATATTGATGCTCATGATGAATTAAAATTATACGTGATATTATTTAGGTATAACTATAACTTAGGCTGAAATTTGTCCGAATTTAGTTTACAGGTTATTATGGTGGATTTATAAGGTGACCATTTCCGCAGTTTGTTCTGTCAGCTACATGCTTGTTTAGTCGGTCTTGTTCTGTTCTTGAGTGAAATTGTTAAGTAGTGCAGCAATTCTATCATAAAGATTAATCACTTAACACGAAAAGAAAACTGACATAATGAATTTCTATACTGGCGCCGCAGGGGCAAATATCCTCTCTTTAGTCCTAGAGAAAGTAGAATGCAGTGAACCCAACACTCAGATAGCACGGATTGACCAGACAAATTAAAGTGAAGGCCATCTCGTGCCAGGTGTGAGGTGCCAAATTTCAAGTTATCAAACAGTTTGAAGTTAGAAGTATGAACTGAAAGTTCGAACAATGTCATGTTCAGCTGGTCGATAGATTTGTTCATGTTGTTGAATCTATCGGCGCTCATGTTGAGAGGTGAAATTGAATCAAAAATGAACTTAGTGTTTTTATATTGATTCACTGAGCGTTCAACAAAGTTGTGTAGAGTCGAGGGGTGAACGCGGTGTTTTCTGAGGTCGTTGATGCCCGCAGAGAGGAGACCAACATCAGCCTGCTCAATGGATCTGCAGTGCTGGTGTAGATCCCGCAGATGAAAGAGATCCTCTCTGAAGGCAACAACTGGCTCATGCAATGTGGAACAATCAAACGACTCATTCTTCGAATATGAAAGAATCAACACCCTTTTAGATATGAGATATGGTTATCATATTTGGTCACGAGGAAACTGTTGAACGGTTTGGCCTGGTCAGGGAATAGGGAGTTCAAATGATCAACAATATTCGCCAGATAAGTGTTGGTACTGATTTCACGTGCCAGATGGTGGCCTCCAGCATACTCATAAGGCATGTTCCCATAGTAGGCAACTTTCCTATTTCCAAAATTGCGGTCATATGTTGTGTTGTTGTCCAAATGCGCAGCTTGAAACTGTTTAAATAAATTTTCTGCATAAAGTGTATAAGGCATGATACCTTCAGGCTCCAGGTTACTAGTACTGCGAGTTGTTGAGGATGATGTGGGTAGGAAGGCAGGAGTCGGCAGGAGGGGGACGTCACGGGCTGCAGGAGCTGCTGGCTGTTGTAGGTCTTTAACGAGCGTCTGGGCACGGACTACGTTCTCCTTCAGCTGCTCCAGTTGTTTGTTTGCTTCCGACACGTGCCTCGCAAAATTAGAGGTTAATTTGTTGAGATCGTGTGTTAAGTCGGTACTGTCTTCTATGACTACTTGTTTAAAATGTTCAGTAAGCGCGTTACTTTTACGTATTTTGCCTCGAGCTTTGATGAGCTTCTCATTACAAGTTCTTTCGAGTTCAAGTGTCATTTGATCTTCCGAGAGCTGATCAACAAGGTCAAGGCAGAGTTGTGGACTAAATGGGTTCATGGTAGTTTGAGTGCCCCTATCTACCGTACCTGTGTAAAGGGGGTCTGCCAGGTAGCCCTTAGAGTCTGCGGTAGCGGTGGGCGTGCCGCTACCTGGCAGCCCGAGAGTCCGTTGAGAAGAAGTTGGAGTGTTTGTAGTGGTATCCATGGTCAGTCAGTAATAGTAGAGGCTCTTACGGGCATTGTCTGCTCGATACGCTTGGGACCCCATATACACCTTTCTAGACGTATTTTTGACCGTAGAATCGATTAAAAGTGGTTTCGAGATGATTGGACTGAGTTTACGCAGGTAAAATCGCAAAAAACCGATTTTTGGGCCAAAAATAGGCCAAAAAACCATGTTTTTTGATATTTTGAACAAGTTAATTTTGTTGGCATGTCGGCAAAACTTGCATGGAAATAGCTAAAACACAGCCGCACAAGATGGTTTAAAAATTTTAAAAATCCCTCTGTTTTTACGCGGGTAAAAATCCAAAAAAGTGGTAAAAATTTTGACTTTTTTGCTTGAAGTTTGAATAATTTTTTGCAGTTGTATTAAATCATTCCAAAAATAGTCACATCGTGTTTGCCTAAATTTTTCCTTTCCGAGAAGTACCCACTTCATTTACTTTATCGAAGTTTGAATATTGTCACTCCGCAAGCGTTTTTGCCAAATTTTCGACGCGCACTACGCGCAAAAGCATTTAGTTGTTATCAATTGGCACCCGCGCGTTCATCATAAATTTCAAACAGCTATAACTCAGCGAGATTATGTCCGTTCTAGCTCATATTTTCACACTAAATAGAAAATAATGTGATCTTATTGCTGACAAAATATGAATATAATTACTCCATTTGCCTTAGAGTAATAGACTGTCAAAGTTTAAAACGCGCATTGGTATAGCACGTGACTAATAAGGCCAAATTTATACTTCTTAACATATTATCGATCCTTAGACATCATACTATTGTGTCCAATTAGCGGTTAGGTTTCTAAACTCGTAGCAGAAAACACGTCTTTTTGCCCGTAAGAGCCTCTACTATAAGGAATCATTCGCGTCGCACAGTCGGTCTTCTTATCAGTTTTAATCCATTAGCGAATTTAAACAAACGTATTAAAAATTGCAAATGAGTATATATTATATATTATTATTATTTTCGTTTTCTTCTATAACATATAAACTGTTTTCTTCTCTACGATTCATTGATTCATGGGCAAGAGAAGTGAGAATCACGGTCCACCCTGAAATCTGATTTCTGTAACCAAATTGTGATTTTTATAACGAAATTATGGTAGCAACCGCCAATAAAGTAACAGCCCTCCATCCACTGCTTCAAAAGTCTTCTCTAGCACATATACATATGAGACTTCAGGTAAAATATGATGATCACCACCCCCTTGGAACCCCATAATCTGAGTCGGCGGTTTTTTTTATGACTGGTAAAATTTTTTACCGGGAAAAATATGGCGGAATCTTCCAAAACCCACCACTTTATCCCGGTTATAATATTCCCGAGTAAGGTACACCAATTTTAGTCGCATTTTTGACTTTTTGAAACCACTTTCCATTCCATTTATTTGATTTTTCCATTTTTAAGCTAGTTTTTTTTCAATTTCGCATATAAAGTCATACTTTTAACATTTAAATAGTTTAACGTTAGGCGTGTTAATTAATTTTAAATGATTTGTTGCAATAATGAATAAAGAAATAAAACCCAGGAACCCTGACCGGATGGGGCTTAACTTTGAAAGTAAAAGAGTTGGAGACTTCCGGTTTTTTGTAACATGTTCCTCTTTTAAAGGGGGTGCAAACCACAGAACTGGCAGTGATATTTTGAAATAACGCTCTATGATATATGATAATAAAGTTACGGTGACTCAATAGGTGAAACAATTAGCTCTCTAGTGCAAGTAAAAATAGATTTGAGGAGTCGCGAGTGGCCAACAATGATACGTCATTTACATTCAGTCCTCAGCCGCTCCATCACTTGCCTACATAAATACTCGACACTCGCCTGACAATCAACAATTAAACTAATATTACACTCATTTTGATCGATCCTAATGTTTCTTTTGTCGTTGTGTAAACAAATATGATGCATTTGAAGTTTTGTGTAGTTCGTGTTTATTGTGAAAGTTGTTCACTTAGTCCACTAACGGTACAACGTTATATTGTAATTTTACATTAATCCCGCAATTCCGTCATTGATAATCGCCATTATAACAGTAGTTCACGATTGCATGTATTCATTTGGTATGGCAGTGAAGTTCCAATATAAAGATATTAAAGATCCAATATAAAGATATGTAAAGATATTACAAAAGTATAAGAATCATTCAAAAAGCTCGCAAAGTTTCACTGCCACCCTGGCCTCCCTCTCCAACATCGACTGCTGCCTTGAATCCCGTATACTCGTTCTTTGAACTAGGATATCGTTCTCGAATCTTGTTGACAACACATGCTGGCAGGCCATATCGTCGGTTTTTGCCTAAACCGTTCAAGTCCAAGATGTTCAAGAAGGACTTATATCCTGTGTATCGCAACATTTTGTTAAACTTTTCAGTTTTCTCCTCTTTGATACACCCATTTTTATTTACCGAGTACGATACAAGGTGCAGCACTTTTTTATTAAGAATAAGCTCATTGAAATCGTCTGTCAGTGTTATACACTTTCGATCACTCTTCATAACTTCAACTCGCTCAATGTCACAACAACAAAATAATTCCGTTCCAGCGTTTGTAACCAATGCACATTCGCCACAAGAACACCATTCACTCGGGTCTCTAAGATTTTCGCTTAGCTCCTCCACCTTCTTCTCCTCATCGGATGAACGCTCTTCATACGAGTCATTATCGCTGGAATGGTCACTCATGTCGCTATACACTGGGTCTTTTGAAACGTCATACCACCTAGGCACCTGTGGTCTGAACTCGTCAGTTTCCTCCTGGGATGAGTCTTCGTATGAACTTGAATCTTTAGAGTTAGAAGACTCAGATGAATCGCTACCAGTGGATGACATAACCTTGTTGTTGAACAAGAACTTGTACCTAGATAAAATAGCTAATAGTAATTACATTTTGAATTGCCATTATTCATACACTCAATAACATAATAATTATAACCATTACATCCAAACGATGCCCCATCTCATCACTAATATTCTAAAATATCTGTAATTTTTCCGCTCTTTCGAGCAAAAATATAAACTCTTCATAAACATTTTCTTACCCAAATTTCTCTTTTTGCAGTTCATAACTAGGTGCACCAAATGTCTAACTGTTGTGTTGCACATTGCAACAAAAAGCAAGGTACTCCCAGCGGTGAAAGTGATTTTAGGCGTTTTATTCGTTGGTACCGTTTTCCCAAAAAGAAAGCTATGCAGAAGAAGTGGACTGCCCGGGTATTACGCCGTATTGCAGACGTTAACCCTGAATCTATGTACGTATGTAGCGAACATTTTGAGGATGAAGACTTCGTTTACAGAAACCTACTTGAGGCCGACATGTTCAGTGATGAGCTCCTAGTTGGTCACCATATGAAACTGAAAGCCGATGCTGTACCCAATACCGATAGAAAGACTGGACTCCTGCGCAAAGGACGACCTCTTGCCACGAAAGCTATAAAACGTATCCATGATGACATTTCCCAGAATTTGGCAACTGAACAAGCTGAACCATCGTCCAGTTCGTTGGGGTCGAGGGCACCCAAATGTGTGCGAAGATCTATGGGTATGGAGGACATTGACAAACTTATTGATCAGAATCAATCGATAGTTGGATCTTTTACTGATGAAATGGAGGTCCTGGTTGATGAACCAATAGTGGAAATTCTTGAGGCTAGTCACAAGGATAAGGCTGTACAGCATAGTTTACGAAGCAAGTCGAAGCAGACACAAATTGGGGGATCCTTTAATTCACTTGATAACACTTCATACCTCGACGACTTGGAAACTTCGGGTTCTGAGTCAGATTTAAACGAAGTTGACGATGACCCTGATTATACCCTGATCAATTCCAGTACCTCTAAAGAACTAGATTTCTCTAGAAACCATAGTTATAAGAGAAAAAAGACGGGGAAAATGACTCACGTGACGTTTCCTATTTCTAAAGTTATAGGTAAATAGCATGATGATCAAAGTAAACCATGTTTATTGTTTATTTATTCGAAAAATCTCTTAGTGCACTAGATTTCGGACTTACTCCTTTTATTCTTGAACTTAATCGATAATTTTCTAGTTGACTGCAAACGATTGAAGGAGCTATTCAACTATTGTAGTCAGTGTGGGGCTGCTGCAGAGGACAAATCTGTGCACTATGAAGGAGCATTCGTGTCTGTTAGGTATAGGTGCAAAGGAGGGCACAGTAAAGTTTGGCGTTCGGGAGAGATCAAGCACCAGCAGTCTCTTATTAACGTTGAATTGGTCGGGTCTGTAAAAATGAGTGGCATCGGATTTACTGCGCTCCAAGAACTTTTTAGAACTCTGGAAATGCCGATAATGTCGAGCAGTACATTTTATGAACTAGCTAACAGGTGGATTTATCCGGTTTTTGTGAGAGAATTCACAAAAATGAGAACGGAAATAATATCTGAGCTAAGGGTGACAAAAAACCTGATACTGTGCGGAGATGCACAGTTTGATTCTCCTGGGTTTTCTGCAAAATTCTGCACATACACCATAATGGATTGTGAGAATAATAAGGTAGTTGACACTATCATTGTGCAGAAGGGACAGTACGAGGGAGAACTGGAAAGGCAAGCTTGTCAGGAGCTATTGGATATTCTTATAACAGAGGACAAGCTTGACATTGCCAAATTCGTTAACGATAGACATCAGGGAATTGCCAAAATGATACGAGAGCAATATCCTGATATCTATCACGGATACGATGTATGGCATATGGCAAAGAATCTGCGAAAGAAATTAAACAATGCAGCTAAGAAACATCCATTAATAGGCGCCTGGAATCGCCAGCTTGTGAACCATTTGTGGTGGTGTGCTGAGAATTGTGGTAAAGATCCAGAGCTGCTGGTGGAGATGTTTCACTCTTCACTGTTCCACGTATTAAATATACATACATGGGGCAGGAGGACCGAGATACACAAACAGTTTAAGGTTCTCCGTGGTAGGAGGCCATATCCGACGCTACCTGTCCTGAACAAGAAGTGTTGGCACCCGACCATAAAAAAAGGTGACGACAGAAAGATCAAGTGGTTCAACGTCACTGAAGATGATTTCAAAGCGCTCTTCAAGATCATAACTGGAACAAAGTTTTCCAACGACATGAAGCAATGCAGCGAATTTCTCCACACAGGTGCACTGGAGTCACTACACAGCACCAAGATCAAGTATGTGCCAAAATCCACGGCATATAATATGAAAACCAATATTGTGATGATGATGTTCGTTGTGTTAATTCATAATAACGTGTTGGGTATGACCCCGACCAAACGATACGAGGTTAGAGATTACTCTCGAGCCAGTAAGCAATACCGTATCAAGACGAAGGTCGTCAAGGACATCATACCTTTCAAGAAGAGTTTGCTATCAGACATTACTGGAAACATAGATCTAAATGTAAGGCTCCCTCTTGATCTGTCACGCTACATGAGGCGACCAGTCCCTAAGACCTTTCATAGTATCGAAAAACCCACCTTGGAGGAATTAAAGGACAAGACATTTTCTAGAATGGGGAAATAATTGTAGACCAACAATTTTTTACGCTATTTGTGCAAAACCTCGTTAATCAAAACATTATTAATACATATGTTATATTTTAATTCCCATTTTCCTGTAGTGTTACGATTTTTAAAGAATTACTCCACGTCTGTTCCAATTCTTATTTGTCACCAGTTACTAAAAATTACGTCTCAGTTTACACTACACTTCTTCATCAATAAACTATACACAAATAACACGCCAAGAGTAAGACTGAACATAAACCACATGTATAATCTACGCTATAGGTGCTGTGGTGGATAACGAAAAAAAGTGTGAGGTTACCAAATTAAAACACTATTCAACATGTCGGACACGGTGCAAACTGCAAACCTAAAGTAATCAGCCGAAAACTGTACACACAAACACTGTGTTTGCATAGCAAGCAACACTCACTGGGGAGTGCGGGGGGAGGGAAGAATGCAAATGACGTCACAGCGCGATATCTAATTATGGCTCTAACTTATGATAGGAACATAATAGAAGTTTGAAACTTTCAGAATTTGTTCTTGTCATAGTTACAGTCAAGTTATCGAAGTTTCAAAGGTGGTTAGTGGGAGGTTTGCACCCCCTTTAAAAGTAACGTTACCTCTCCAGGAGGAAAATTCAATGTTCAAGACAACGTAATTGTTGAGTTATCTCAAAATCTCCAGAAAAGTCCCCTTTCGGACCGATCAAAAGTTTGCAACTTTAACTTTGCGGATTCCTGTACTCTGGTTGGCTGAATTGTGTCACGTGGTAGTTGACATACGTTGCATGCCACTTTTCGCGCGCGGTGCCACTTTTCGCGCGCGGTGGTAGCTGCCTGAACATTGGACTGCGCCACGCGTGCAAATCATGCTTGTTGTCGCGCGCGAGGTCAAGCCGTCTGTTTAAATTAAACCAAGGCCAACTCTAATACCACCACCAGCCGGTAACTTTTCCTGGGTTTACGAGACGGAAATTTTGTTGAAAACCGGACGGTTCTATTTATTTTACTTTTGGAGATATACCCCCAACCGGTAGGGTTTGCTGGGTCTAACCTACACGCGCGTTTAAAAGAATTTGCACTTTCATTTTGAAATTGCTCTAACCAGAGCCCTCTCGCTTGCAGTAGCGCGCGACCGCCGTAGGCGGCAAAGCACAAAGGATATATATATTCAACTTGTGAAACAAGCGCGTCACGGCAGTACGCGTATACACATGGCTATGTGAATTTTAAAACGTTCACTTTGACAAACTATAACTCTCCACCAATCAAGTCAAAGTTCGATTTTAAAATATCAAAAGAAAGTAGAGAATTTCGCCAACACGAATGGGGGTCCCTTGTCATACGTTGTATGACCCGCCGCGCACGAAGTGCGCGGCTCCCCCTGTAGCGTCGAAGACGCTACAGGGGGTCATAGCCGTTTTGCAAACAATAACAAACCAAAAGGGAACTCAGTCAGTTCCCTCCATAATAAAGCGCCGCGCCATACGTGATTGTACTGAATATTTGTGTGTCGCCAATACGAAATGCTTGCGGAGAACATGTTTGTGGCTTTTGACTTGGATCCAGCTTTATTAATTATAAATTCGATCGACCTTTATTACTATTTTATTCGTAATGGTTTTGAACTTGAATTATTCTAGTTTATCTACTCGATCTACCGTTAGTTATTTCGATCCTTGATTGCTGCTGTTTAGGTAGGATTATAGGATAGCTTTCGCTTTTAGAGCCATCTGCACTGTATACTAGTATTGTTAATGCAAGTTGAATGAATGTATATTTTAGGGGATTGGGTCTTGTTTAAGCATTTCATATCATTTAATTGAAAGGTATACCGGTCGGACCTGTTTGTGTATAAGTATAAAGGCACATAATATTTTGAACCTTGAAAACACAGTGTTCGGTTTCTGTAGATATTTAACTTTACTGTAACCTGCTCATGCCTATCCTGATCCCAGAAATATTATCAGTTTTATCATATCAGTATGTTCAACAGGTCAGACGTTTTAGTAATATATAATCGACAATTGTGACTGGTTTAACCTGCATAATTTCTTATTGGGCGACAGCTGTCCGGCAGCGACATCTGTCCGACAGCCGAATTGGGGATTTCGGACAGATTTCGCTGTCGGACAGGAGCAGTTTTTGGCGACATTGTCCGAATTTCGGATCATTATATATTGTAACTTCGGTTCACATTCGTATTTCACAAGCTCACAGGTAATCTCGTGACGTTGCTCCCATTGTTCTAATGCTGATGTGATCTGTTGAGATCTGATCAATCGATACGTGATTGACCAGTTGCGGACAGGATCGTGCTAGCCGTACACTAACA